CTTTAGACAAACTATACATTTCGAGAATGAAGCGCGGCTGCGGCTGCGGCTGGAAAACAGTGTTTAATGCATTGCTCGTCACTTTAGGAGGCAGCGTGAATTAATTTAGCTAAACTGCAACGGTCATCTTGCGGAAACATTACCAACGATCCATCAAGTAATGTTTTCGCCTCTCTCTCTCTCTCTGTTGGTAAAGCGCTGTCAACAAATATTTTTCCTCCATATCCCATAATGCACAGTGCATCAGCCTACGGCAGCTGGTTTAGTCCAAAAGGCGCAGTACTTTTTGCGGTTGGACCTGTTTTAGTACGAATCATATTCTCACCACAAACGAACCGCTCCAGAGTTCGTATGAAAGCGTACCAAGACCACCTCTTCAAGCAGGTCTCTGTATGCTTATTTTGGTGCGCACTCAAGTACGATTACTGCATTCTCACCTGCCCAAACGAACCGCACCAAAAGGGGAAACGAACTCTAGTGCGATTCAATCTAACTAAATAAGGCAGGTGTGAAAGCACCCTAAAAGTCTCTAAAGTGTAGGTCCAGTCTTCCTCTTTTCTGGTGATGCTGTTTTCTTCCCCTCCTGCTCCCGCACAAAGTTGCAACATTGTTGAAAATTCAACTATCAACAGTGTCTGCTCTTACATTCCCACACATTTTACCCTCTCTTTTGCGGGAACGAAGCTTTATTTTCCCATACGCTGTCCCATCTGTAATTTTAGGGCATAGTACTATAAATAAGGGTGCTTTCACACCTGTGAATCGATACAGTTGTTCCGAAACAGAGATAACAATTGTTACATTGTTGCTCTTTGCTCTTGGAGCGGTTCGCTTTCACACTGCAAAGTTTCTAATCGGACCAAAAGAGCTAAAACAAGTCACGTGCGAGTAAACTCTCCTCACATTAGTCAGAGTGTCAGGGTTTATTTTGCAGCGTCCCGCTAAGCTGTCAGGAGAGGTGGTGGTTTGGTGGTGATTGACAGGGTGAGCGCGCGCGACGTGTCTGAGGAGAGACGGATGAGAAGGGGTGAAGGGAGAAGGGAGGGAGGGGTGAGAAGGGTGTGCGACGATGCCTATTTGAGGACCGGAGGGAGACGCGAGATTACCGGGAGATCATCACTCGTTTGCGGGCATCCGGAGACTCGCGAAACTTCCCGCCCTACTCATAATTCTCTCTTCATATAGCCGTAAGCCTATTACATATCCATAAAACACTGTGATATAACCGCGCTCGGATCGGATCGCTTTCTCACTGCAATCGATCCGCTCCAGGGTTCGTTTCAATCGAGCCGAGACCACCTCATTCAATCGATCTCGGAGCGATTACTTTGGCACGGAACAGAGTGCGATTGCCCTGTTCACATATGCCAAACGAACCGCGCTAACTGGGCAAACGAGATACGTTCCGAAACAAAAGTGTAGGTGTGAAAGCACCCTAAGACTTTGCCAGTGTGGTTCCTTATCACAACTGATCAAGATGGCCAAGAGATTATCTGCTGCGAGGGCCTTGCAATTGATTGTGGAAGAGAGAGGAGCTTCTGATGATGATGACCATGACCATGGTGGGAACAGTATAAAAAAACAAATGGGGCTGTGGGTTTTATTTTTTTCATAACATCAAAAAAAAAAAAAACGAGAAGCACATTAATTCATCAATATGGGAAGGTAAATGGGAAAAATTAACCATGTTTGCTGTGCATATGGCTTGTAATTGGATTAAGTAAACATTTGTTGAGCAATTGAACATACAATAGTTTGATAGTGTTACTTTGGAAAGCCAAAACTCTATTAGGTCCACCAAACCCATGAACACTGACCGAGTAACCAAAATACGAACACCACACAAGGGTTAAGGAGTACAAAGTGTGCTGTTGTACATGGGAAAGGACAGAATGACTGCACAACCCTTTATGGTACATGCAGCGTAGTTTGCTTTTGGAGTCCTTGCTCTGTTACAGACATCCCTTTAGTTCTTTAAGTGTCAGGGTACATAGAGCTTCACCTACAAAAATGAAAGACTAGCGCCACGTGTCCATATCAAGCCATCTACGGATATACACATATTAATGCACTGCAAAAAGTGCTTTTTTTGTCTCGTTTCTAGTCCAAATATCTAAAAATTCTTAAATCAAGAAGAATGATCTAGGTAAGAAAAAAATAATGTCTTGTTTTGAGAAATAATGAGTCAAAATTAAGTGAGTTTTTCCTTAAAAAAAAAGCTAAATAATCTGCCAATGGGGTAAGCAAAATAATCTTGTCAAACAGAAAAACAAGATTATTTTGCTCACCCCATTGGCAGATTATTTAGCTTGTTTTAAGGAATAGCTCACTTAATATTGGCATATTATTTCTCAAAACAAGACATTGTTTTGCTTGCCTTGAAAGTGCTTCTTTATGAAAGAATTTTTAGGTATTTGGACTAGAAACAAGACAAAATCTAAGTAAGAAAATCATGTTTGCAGTGTGGGTCCTTAAAAAAATGCCATTAAAGAGAAGGTGCTAAACAATACTGAAGAAAAAAGTATCACAGTGCGTCTTCAATAGTGCACAATGTCAATCTTCTGTGCTTATTTACCTTGAAAAGACATAAACCGAACTATAAACTTAATTTATTTCATTGAGTCAGTGCATTTCGAGACTTCAGGTTTCATATTACTCTCTGTATCTCTCAGTGTGAGTGCTGTTATCTCCATCCAAGAGCTACACTGCAAAAAAATGCTTTTCTTGTTTAGATTTTTTGTCTTGTTTCTAGTCCAAATATCTAAAAGTTCGTAAATCAAGAAGAATTTTCATAACAAGCAAAACATATTGCCTTGTTTTGAGAAATATTATGCCAATATTAAGTCAGTTTTTCCTTGAAACAAGCAAAATAATCTGCCAATGGGGTAAGCAAAATAATCTTATGTCAAAAGAAAGAACAAGATTAATTTGCTTACCCCATTGGCAGATTATTTTGCTTGTTTCAAAGA